TTGATCTCATTTTCATTAGCATCTAAAGTCAAGATACTCAAGATCTCAAGATCTGATCTATTGGAACTAGGGGGAGTTCTACTCAAATGGTTCAGAGTCAGAATATTTGATCTCCATCAAGTCATTGACTCAGGGGGAGTTTCATAAAAAGGATAAGTATTCCTTACCTTTTTATTTTTACTTTTTCTGATTATATGAACAAAGTTGTGTCATCAAAATACATAGTTTTGTCATCACCAAAAAGTGGGAGATTGTAAGAACAAGATTTGGTTATGCAATATTATCTCTGAGTTTTGATGATAACTAATTAGTATGTTTGTATGAACAATTTTGATACTCTAATGTTTATTATTTTTGAGTATTTAACAAACATGATCTGCTTCTGATGGATGGCGTGCCAAGACATTAGAAGAGAATTAATTCTGTTTCTGAGCTATATAAGATCTGATGAACAATAGCAATACACTCCATAAGACTCTGAAGTGTAGGCTCTGATATGAAGTCTAAAAAAACCAGTTAGAAGATCTGAAGGCAAAAGTTTCTACTGAAGTTTAGATGCTAAAGACTCATGTTTCCGAAGACAATATGTTATAAAGAAATAAGTCAGACGATCTGAAGACTGAAGTTCAGATGCTGAAGACTAATGTTTCTAAAGACAAATGATTCTAAAGACCAAGTGCTAAAGATTCTGATAAACGGGGTTCTAAAGACTCTAAAGACTTAAAGTTCTAAAGACCCATGGTTCTAAGAAAAGGGTTCTAAAGACCAAGTACTAAAGACTCTCAAAACAAAAGTTCTAAAGACTATAAAGACTTGAAGTTCTAAAGACCCAAGGTTCTAAGAAAAGGTTCCCACAACCAAGTGCTGAAGATGCAATTCTGAAGACTCTAAAGACTTGAAGTTTTGATGACCTTGTGTTATGTTATCGCTTCTAAACTCATGCTCGCAAAAGCCTCTAAAGTGCAGAAGGAAAGAAGATGACGTTAACATAGTACAAATAGTATATGATGCAATCAACGTTTCATTCCACTACCATGAAAGGACAGACGCGTTGCACGATCTTGTCCCCCATGTTATATCTCAATTCGCCAATGTTTCTGAAAATCCCAAGAGTACCCATCAATGGATATATTATTTTGGCTATATAAAGGCTTGGAGACTAAGAGAGAAAGCTGTCAACCAACGAAATATTTACGCACAAAGCACTGTTCATAGATTTCATATTCTTAAGTCACTGTTCTTTAAAATAGTTTACATATTCAGCTTGTGTAGAAGCAATATCATTGTAAACAAAACTTGTATTCAAACAGTTGTTTGATTTCCTTAAGGGACCGGTTAGGTCTATATCCTTAAGAAGTCTAGGACTAGTGTGTCTTAGAGGTTTGAGTTTCCTTAAGGGATCAGTTAGGTCTATATCCTTAAGAAGTCTAGGACTTATATGTCTTAGAGGTTGTTAGTCTCTTGCAAGTAGCTTGTGCATTGTAATAATCAGTTTGATTATAGTAGATTAAGTCCTCAATTGAGAGAGGCGAAATCACCTTGGCGGGTGGACTAGACTAGCTTTATAGTTTTCAAGTGAACTAGTATAAACATACCATGTTCTTTACTTCTTATTATTAATTATTGTTATTATCAAGAGTGAAGAAAAAAGTATTTTAGTTAAAGAGAAATATTTTTAAAAGAAAAGTTTTGATTTAAAACCCAATTCAACCCCCCATTTTCTTGTATTTTTCACACTTTCTGACTAATAATCCGATTTCTATTGAAACTTCAGTTACAAAAACCATTTGGCTTCAGTTACATAGCTTGCAACAACCTGCCTCAAAATTAATGCAAAATTTAATATAAAAAATGAAAGTTGCATCTTTGTGGATTCCCTCATCTACTGCATTATGAAAAACCTTTGGAGAATCCTGTGCCTCAATTACATTGTTAAAAAATCTCTTCCACTTCGTTGAATTCGTCAGGTGTATCGCTTTCTGTCTCTTCAAAAGACCATATAGTATCTATAAGAGATCTCCCTCCGAACGTATGCAAATGCAAAAAACGGGATTGTATTTCTTCCTTGAGAGGCTCATCATCTGTTCTGAACCAAATCTCCTACCAAGATACACCAATAAAATATCCACAAGTAAGCTCATTGCATCATAAGTGTGTGGTTAGATTAGTTGTGTTGCAAAAGTATCAGCATAAAGTAATGATTAAGTACTTACACTTACAATTTAAATTAGATGAAGTATCAGCATAAGCTAATTTCAATTGCAAATGGAGAAGAAGCCTATGAAGAATTTTAAAATGATAGGACTAATGTGAATATTATAAGCAACTTGAGAAGACCAAGAAAAAAATGTACCTTTATATATGAATTGGAGTCCACAACAACAATTTTGAGGTCTCTGCAACCGTATCGTACATTTTTCAATACAAAGATTCGCATCGTATCTAACCACAACTGCAACGGAACAACATCTTGATAGGGTATTTCAACAAATAGAAAATGTGCACTGAGTTAACCCGTCCATAGTTTAAGATACCAGCAGAGGGGCTAATCTCAATGTTTCCATATCATTTCATTTAAAAGAATCCGCATAATTTGGATTCGAAATGACATGAAGCAGCTTGAAAAGTGACCTTTGTCAAAGCCTGCACAAGTGACCGTCTGCAAAACATTATGTTTTAATCATCTTTCAGTTTTTTATATAATCATATTTAAATTTAAAAGACAAATTGAATTCATCATTTTTATAAAATAAAAAGAAGAAGTTATATAATTAAAACAAAACTTTATTCACTCACTAAATTGTCTTTTAAATACAAAGTTAAGCTTATATAATAATCTAAAATAGTTTAAAATAAATAAAAATATTAATATTCACCAAATTTGTCCCCTTTAAATAAGTCTAATGCCAATCACCATTAAACCAACTAATTTGAGTCTCACTTTAAATATAAGAGAATTTAAGTTTCTTCATCATTATGTAAGGTCTAGATCCAAAAATATAATGTTCATATTTTATTCATAAAAGTTAGAACTTTTAAGAATCAAAATCTAACTTATTTTACATATACATAAACTATATTAGTTTATAGATAACAAAAAAAAAAGTATTCACCAAAAATACCAAGTGCATCATTCATGTCAATTCTTTCGACAATAAAATCAATTGCTAGATATTTTGGTACAACGATCAAACACTGACAACTAATATTGATAAATAATAATTTCTTATAATCGTCACTTGTTTATCATTATAGGTGTGAATATAATCTATCGAATACTTTCATGATTTTACACACACAATTTTATTAGACACATCAATAAATTATTATAGAGACATGTACATTTGTAATTGTAAATTTATAAGACAAAAACAAGATACCAAATGCAACATTAATCCATAATCTTTGATGGCCAATAATTAACTACAAGCGGCACGCTCAATGTAATCATCAAACATTAATAATAACTTTGGTCAGATAATGTGCGTCTTTCACACCAATCATTTCCCACATGGAAAAAAGCTTCATAATGATCACATATTCACCATCATAGGTATACAATTATCTGACTATGTCTTCCTTTTAGCCATTGTAACAGCTCGCGTGAACGATTTCATACTACATCTTTTTGTAATTTCAATTTGATCTAATATATACAACAAATGTTACTTTTGCAACTTGTTGTTTCAACCAACTCAATCAAAATTACTAGAAAATTTAATAAATTAAATGGAAAAAATGTCTTAAATTTACAAGGCATTATCCATTAAATATAGGTCAGATTCGTAAGTTTGTCGCATTCTTCATAATCATAAGATTAATTAGCGGCCCTTAAATTAAGAACAAACTCACAATAAAACATAATTTTTATGAATTTATATAAGTTGTATGAATAAAAAAGTATTATTGTATAACACTTAATAATAAAAATAAACTCAAATAACATAATCATGCTAAATACATAATTTTAAATCAGATAAAAATTAAATATTAATATATCTAAAATAAATGTCAAACAAATTTACATATACACCAAATAATTCTTTAAATAAATTATTTTAGAATCAACAAAATTAATTCTAAAATCCACTGCATCCAAAATTTAAAGAATCAAATCATTAGATTTATCTTATAATTTTGAGAGACAATGAAGATAGTCAAAATTTTCCATAAATAATAACTAAATATATTTTAAACAAACTAGTATTTGCCTTATCTCTCATAATCAAAATTCAGGTAAAAATTTCATGTGAATCAAATTAAAAAAATAAAACAATAATTAAAAAATCAAATAGAAATATTTGATAATAATTTTTTTTTAAATTTAAAACCAAGACATAAAAAAATGTTGAAAATCAAAATCCTTTATATATATATATATATATATATATATATATATATATATATATATATATATATATATATATATATATATATATATATATATATATATATATATATATATATATATATATATATATATATATATATATATATATATATATATTGAGAATGTTTCTGTTAGCGGTAATTCTATTCCTCAATTGATACTCCTAATATCTTAAATTCTCTTGAGATACTACATGTATACATTATATTGAGAATCACAATTTATTTATAGAATGATGGTCAATTAAAATTCTTATTATTTCAAAATGGGTCATCCTAACCTCTACTTATATTTAAATTTATATTTAATTAATTAATTAATTAATTAATTATTAAATAAAAATTTAATTAATCTTTTAAATTTATTTGACCCTCAATATAAAGCATCTTCCTATACACCCTCAATAATGGCAATAATGACATTGACTTATTATAAACTTTTTTGTAAACAATCCGATTAAAGTCTTAAACAACATATTTTTAATTAAACAAATCATTCACAATTAATTATTATCACGACAGAACAAATCATACACGATTAATTGAAATCAAACAAAACAATAAAACATAGTATTATTTAGATCTTCAAATCTTATTAAATCTTCAAATCTTCAAATCTGATTTAATTGATAGGAGGGCATTGGAGGTACAGTGAATCCTGCAAAACATTACCAAACTCAATAAATAAATTCTTAGTCAATAATAACTAGTAATTATTAACATAAATGAATAAATAGAGAGTTTCTTACTATCACACTGGAAGCCATGAGGAAGAGGTCTGCCACATTTATCGAAACAGTACATCACTTTTTTCCAGCTAATTACATCGGCAAATGTCATGTTAGGATAAAAAGCTGTTTTTACCAAGGAAAAAATTATCAAAATTAAAATATAAATATTTCAATTGTGTTCTAAAAGATGATAATGATATATAAAAAAAAAAGGTTGAAAAAGCAACAACTTACGCAATTTTCGACTGAGACCATTCTTGCAAACACATGGTACATTAGCAGTTTTAATGACATTACAACATCGATCATTAGGTGGGATTGGTTCTTCTGGACCTCCTATGTTCATGTAATACATGCACTCAATATTCATGCCAAGAATATCAGTTTCACAATCTTCTCCTTTCACATTCTTGTAATGGCATAGAGATATTATTACAAGGATTGCCAATAACCACATTGATTTCACTTTACAACCAAACATCTTTGTTTTCTCTTTTTTTCTTTCAAGTCAATTTGGTATATGCTTTGAGGTCTTATTTATATTAAGGTTATAGGAGGAGAAATGAATATGCATTTAAATTTGTTAATAATTATATTTTAATTATATATATTTAATTAATATTAGAGAAATACTAGAATATATCGACACGATAAAATATTTTGTATATTATCAATTAATGAGACATGTCTATCCCATTAAATCACACTTTTTATTTTTAAAATACATATAATAAATATAAGAATTTTAATTGATTGTGTCTAATATTATTTTATAATGTATGTAAATTACCTTTAAACTTTAATATTACAGATACAACATTCAATCACTATTAAAAGTATAAAAAAGTCACTTTTTTTTATTTATTTGAATCCTTTTTTTTTAATGGTCAACTTTTTTTTAGTAAAACAACTTTTAATAAAGTTTGCTTTTTTAGTATTCAATTTCATTCTTGAAAATTGGGTTAAAAAATAAAAATAAAAAATTATTTAGGTTGGATTGAATTAGATTTGTCAAATTTGGAATGGATAAATTAAAAATTTTAAAGCTTAAATTTGATTTATGGTTTATTATAGGCTTATCTTTAGGTCGGAGTCTGTCATTTTCGAAAATCTGATTGGTCTAATAGCATGCAAAAAAAAAATTATTTGAATATTTGTAAATAAGTAATTCAGCTAAGTTTTAAATAAACTAACAAATTAAAATATCAACGAGATTAAACGTTTATTTGCATTGATTTATTTAAGTTTATCTATGTTGAAATATGTCTTAGAACCTTAAGTGATGAAGAAAAATAAAACATGTTTCGAGATTGCTAAAAATCAAAAAGTCAAAAAGTAGTCAAAAAGTAGTCAGAATATCTAGTTTGAGCAGTTCACATATATCAAATTTGATCGATTCGGTTCATGGACTCGCTCATTAATGTTAGAATGTTAAATATATATTTTATATTAATTTAGAAAAATAGTCTAAATTAATAAAAAAGATATTATAAAATATTTGTAATATTTTATTTTAACAATTAATAGATTTTATTTTGCGCATTGTTATGGATTTATTGGATTTTATCAATTATAAATGTGTATCTCTTCTGTTATTACAGTGACAATTTTAGAGTTTTACAACAAAAAGGAGAAATAAGTGTTTAGGATTTTTCCAAGGGTAAACTTAGAAAGAGAAGAGTTTTGGGAAATCTTTGAAGTTATCTAAGGGGATTGAGAATACTTCTTGACACCTTGAGTTTGTGTGATTCATATATTAAAAGTTTGAGAGATTGGAAAACACTTAGTAGAAAATAAGGGTTTGTTCTTGAGAACTTGGAATGTTGTTTTCTTTTAACTCATTTGTAATCTTTAGTAACAATTTTTAGAGTAGAGTAAATTGCAGAGATGTTATCTCCCTCATACGTAGATCATTTGATCGAACTAGGTAAACAAATATTTTGTATTTCTCGCCTTATGTTTATCTTCTTTTGCTAAATTCACTATTTATTGGTTATTATTGTTGAAGGTCATTTATTTTGGTTTCTACCGTTCTTTGTCCCCACACATCAAATTCCTTGATATGAATTGAATCTTATTATTTTCACAACATGTGACGTCCACCATGGAGCAAAGGGGTAACATTTGCAAGTGAGCACCATGGGTAAATTTGAAATCGAGAAATTTTTTGAAACAACGATTTTGGATTATGGAAAGTAAAGATGTAAGCAATTTTAGTTCAAGAGAAGTGTGTTGATGCTTTGAAGGGTGAGACATTGATGCTTGCAGCCCTTACATAAGCACAGAAGATCGAGATGGTGGATAAGACAAGGAGTGTCATTATCTTGTGCCTCAGGAATAAAGTTCTACGAGAATTCACCAAGGAGATACTCGTGGTTGCAATGTGGGAAAAATTGAATCATTGTATATGACTAAGTCTTTGGCTCACGGGTAGTGTCTAAAACAACAACTCTATCCATTCCAAATGGTAGAAAACAAAATCATAATGGAGCCGTTGACAAAATTTCACAAGATTATTAATGATCTTGAGAATATTGAGGTGAATATTGATGATAAGGACAAGACTTTACTCTTGTTGAGTTAAGGATGTTTTTCTTTATGGTAAGAAATATACTACTACTTTGGATGATGTCCATACGATGGTGAAATCCAAAGAATTTTCAAAGTCAAAAGATTTGAATATTGATGATAATGGTGAAAGCTTGAGTGTCTCAAGAGGAGGAACTGGGTATATATAGACGTCCAAATCAAATAGATTTAACAAGTCAGAGGTAAAATGTTTTAATTGTCAAAAAACCAGTTACTTCAAGAAGGATTGTCCTGAGCGAAAGGTCAATGATGATTTTGCTCAAGTTGCGGTTGTCTTTAATGAGGATGATTATGAGAATGTTGATGTACTAGTACTATCAAGTTTGGAGACTGAAGATATTTGGGTCATAGACTCGGGTTGCTCTTATCACATGTGTCAAAGAATAGAATACTTTGATACTTTGAAGCTAGATCAATGTGAAATAATTCTTTTTGGTGATAATAAGGCTTGCAAGGTTTATGGTATTGATACAGTCAGACTTAAAATATTCGATGATCATGAGTTTCTTCTTCATAATTGAGGTATGTTCCAAAACTCAAGTAAAATTTATTGTCCATCAACATATTTTATGATCTAGGATATTACATTGGAGTTAAATATGGGGTGTTCAAGATTTCACATGATATAATAATCATTGTTAAAGGGTCTAAACACTACTACAAAAAAATGATTTAAACCTCAGACGCGAAATGGATATAATCTCGGTTACACAAGCGAGGTAATGAAGGGTGACATGAAAAGTTGTCACTTATCACCTCGGTGACTTAAAAACTAAGGGGAAAAGTGGCACTGGTCATGGATTCGATCCCTAGCAACTGCAATTTATGAATTTTCAAAATTGCGCTACTTTTTACCTCATTTTTTACAAAAATCGAGGGGTAAAGTTTTGTTTACAAAATTTTAATTTTAACCTGTTTTTTTTACGTTTAATCTGCAAAGCACTAATTTTTTTTACAAATTTTAAATCTTTCTCATCATCATCAACAACAACACCTATAACAATAATAAAAATAAAATCAATAGAATCCTTAAACATTAAATATCACAATAAAAACAACAACAACAACAACAACAACAATAACAAAATCTATGGAATCTTTAAATGTTAAATCTCAACAACAACAACAACAAGTAAACAAAATCAACAAAATACTTAAACATTAAATCTCAACAACAAAAGTAACAACAACAACAAAATACATGGAGTCTTTAAACATTAAATCTAAACAACGTCAACAACAATGACAAATAAACAAAATCAATAAAATCGTTAAATACTAAATTTCTACAACAACAAAAATAATAAACATTTTTACTTGATACAACTACAACTAACATTAAAAAATTTTAACAAGGAATTACTAGATAAAAGATAATATTGAAAAACTAACCTTGAAATATTTTCTCGCTCTTGCTTTCATTATCGTTGTTTTCATTATGTTAACTTTAAATTTAAACACTTTACATCAAAGATGCATAGTTGTGACATTCACGTTTTGATTGACTAGTGAGAATTTCACACGGATCACTAATGTGTCATGTGGATTGATGAGTTGTCAATGTCTTGACCATTATTACTTTATAAATGGATAGCAAAGATTTGTTACTTAATTTTTTTAATCAAATTGATCATAAATTAAAAAAAAATAAAATACGCTACTTTACCTCTCAATTTTTAGCAAAATCGAGGTAATAGATCATAAAAAAATTAAAAGGTAATATTGGTCATGGGTTTGATCCCCAACAACAACTGCATTTTTTTTATTTACAAAACTGGGCTACTTTTTACCTCGATTTTTAACAAAAACCGAGGGGGTCAAATCCTGTTTAAAAAAAATAAAAATAAAAAATGATAAAGTGTAGTTGTTGGGATTCGAAAGACATGTTCTCTAAATATTTTACCCCTCGGTTTTAAGCAAAACTGAGGTAATAGGTCTTTAAAAATTAAAAGATGATAAAATGTAGTTGCTGGGATTCGAAGACGCGTCCTCTAAATATTTTCCCCTCAGTTTCCAGCAAAACCGAGAGAATATAAGATATGTTTTATAAAAAAATTTAAATGTGGCGCGTCTATAGTTTTCACTTCGGATTTTTGTTGGATGAGGTGAAATGTTCCATCGTGAAAAGCGTTATTTGTTATAGTGAAATATGTGGTATATATATTTTAGAAGGTTTAAATGTTATTTGTTCATTCATCATTAATTAGTGAAGGATTTCATGACAAGAAAGAGCTATGTGATTTGGGGTTAATGCATAATGATTTACTGAAAGTTATTTTAGAACATTTTAATGAATTTCGCGGAAGACAAGAGTTAAAGATGCGTGAGACTGCTGAGTTGTCATTGAGTTTATGGGGTAAGGCTGGTGTCAAAGCAACTTAGTTGGTTGGTAGAGAGTTATTTTAGATAAATAAGAATAAAAACCAAGGAATAAAGCTTTTAGAAACTATGGCTGAGAAAACTCAATTTGAGGTGGAGTTTACTACTACAGATACTAGTATTAGTGAGGGAACGATTACAGAGGCCTATGATTATCATTTGACTCGTGATAAGGTAAAGAAGGATATTGTAACATCTCAAAGGGACGATTATCCTAGCCTTGGGTGTTATACTTTGAATATGGCGTAAGGGTTGCAAAATTCAAAAATAGGGACCTTCGGGGAGGCATTCTGTGGGATTTTGGATCGAACTCTAGTTGGTCGAAGTACTTGCTGTAGTCGAAGAAGGTTCTAGCATGTATTTGTCGAAGGATGCTTGTCGAATTAGGTTTTAGTGTTTAAACCCTAATTTGTTAAGTTAGCTTGTTTGTTAAGTTAGCTTGTATAATGGGCCTTGTGGAAAAAGCCCATTAGTTAGTATGTTAGGTTTTATTATAAATAGCATACTAGTCTC